AGCTCGGGACAGCAGCGGAGCTGCCATGGCGGCCAGCGCTTCCCACTGGCACAGCTACATCGGGGTGATCGTGTCCCGTGAGAGGCAGCGGATGGAGCATTTCCAGCAGGCCGAGGATATCCTGCTGACCCTGCTGGAGGGTGTCCATGCCAGGGAGCCCCGTTTCCTCGTGGACTATGCCAGGAACCTGGAAGCCTTCGAATTCGCTCTCAACGCCTCCGAGGATGCTGTCACCGTGGAGGTCCCCCTGCGCATTGATGGCAATGCCTTGCGGGTGCTGGCGTGCCAGCCCGGGGACACCCCGGCTGGGCACCATCTGGGGTTGGGCACCTGCTATCTGGAAGTGCCCTCTTCAGGGACCGACTTGGAGGACTGGACCAGTGCCGTGGGTGTGATGGAGCAGGGATGTGGTGTGGGGTGCCTGGTTCCGGGCAAAGTCCTCCAGCACCTGAAAGAGCTCCTTGTTTCGGCCATCGTGCGCTGCCAACGCCACTTCCTGCTTCAGCCAGGTGAGTATGCCAGCACAGTGCTTCCCTGGCTGGGAGCTGCCTCTGGAGGGAGCCCAGCTTGGCGGTGGTACCCATGCAAATGGGCTGGGGTGTAAGTCCCCAGGCATGTGGCCCACCCAAAGCCTGCACAAGTGAGCGAGCACCCTGCGATGCGCTGGGACAGGCTTTGCCCTCAGCTAAGGAAGGGGAGATGCAAACTACTCCCTGCCATCCCATGGCAGCAGAGTCATCCTCGGGCACCTTCACGCTGGGCTGATGGCACCCTCCTTGGCGGGTTAGCAGCTCCATGCAGGGTTCACCCATCCTAGCTGGCTCTGAGCAACCTTATCTAGTTGGAGATGTCCCTGCTCACTGCAGGGGGGTTGGACTAGATGACCTCTAAAGGCCCCTTCCAGCCCAAACTATTCTATTCTATTCTATTCTATTCTATTCTATTCTATTCTATTCTATTCTATTCTATTCTATTCTATTCTATCCCATCCCTGCCCTTAGTCCCCAGGGAGGGTTTGCTCAGGGGCTTGGCGTGCTTGGCTCACCCCAGTCGTGTTCCCTCTGTCTCTCCTGGCCCCCGAGTGCCCACTGCTCCCTGGAGGAGGCTGTTTGGAGGGTGAGCTGGAAGTGCGTAAGGGCTGGACCTGGACCTTGGGGCACGGGTCTGACGCTGTGCACACACGGGCCCCAGCTGGGACCAGCATCCCTGCGAAGGACACGGTGGGGAAGGGACCCTGGGAATGCCTATAGGGGTCCCATCAGCTTCTTCGTGCATTTCCATCTCCAAAGGTGCTTCTTGAAGTAAACCTCAGCCCTGATGGGAAGGTGATGTTAGAGGACCAGCGGGTCTGAAAGTCTCTTAACCCAGTCCCAGCAAGCCCACCATCCCCTCCTTCCTCCATGGCCAAGTCAGAGCCCTTCATCTTCCTCTACCCCCACAACCCGAAACCTTTCCTCGTCCATTTTTCTTGGACCATGTTGTTTTTCTTGGGACTGTTCAGCCACCCAGCAGCATGGCCCTGGTCGGCCGGTCGGGGCTTCCTGCTGTGCCCACACTTGCTGGCCTGGCCCTGAGCCCCGCTGGAGCGATGCTGCTTCCCGAAAACCACCCCAGTGGGGTTTGGAGAATGGCTTTCGCCAGGGAACCGCAGCCAAACCTCAGCATTGGAAAGGGATGAGTTGAGCAGGGTGGGACGTGCCCACGGGCGTTGCGGCACATACCCGGTTCAGCCTGTGGGACCGGCTGTGGTAACCTCCTAACCACGACCAAACCCTCTGCATCTAGGTGACCTCAGTGCTGAAAAACTGCAGGAAGATGCCATGGAGCTCTCGCTGCTGATCCGCGGTGGCTGGAAGACCATCCGCTTTGACATCATCCCCGTGGTGAGGAGGTGGCAGGAGCCGTTCCGGCTCAAGGGGCGGCAGAGCAACAGGGGCTTCCCTAAAGGCACCCTCCAGAAGGCCACAGAAGAAGCTCACTTCGTCCCGGCCTCTCCCCACTGCTGGAGGTGAGCGGCTCAGCTGTTCACAGAGTGGGGTGACCCTGCCCTGGGGATCCCCCCCTGGCTGGCAGCACTGCTGGGTGTAGGCAAAAAGAGGATGGGAAAGTGGAGGGAGATGTCAACGCCGGGGGTGAAGTCACCCTCTCATGCAGCCCCAAAACCCGCTGCCCTGTGTCGAGGGAAAAACCTCAGCCAAATTTCAGGCAGCTCAAGGAAAGAGGAGGGGGATGCAACCGAAGGACACCATCCCCCCCCCCCGCCGCCCACATTGTTTGCAGGAGCTAAGCCCTGGCCCCGCGGAGGGTGGCAGCTCTCAGATCCCTGCTTGGGCTTCAGGAGCGAGCCTGGGCACCTGGCAGCAGCAGGGGGATGAGGGGCCTCCCAGGGTGGACTGCAGGCTGACACACATGTCACCTGCCAGCACAGCGAGCTGGCCCCAGGGAGGGGCCGAGCATCCGCCTGGACCAGCCCAGGCTTATTTTGGGCACGATGCGGTCCCGCTGGTTGCTCGGCCTCTCCTTGGGGCCCAATCCAGCCTCCCCTCTTGGGCAGCCCGCAGCCCTGCTCGCTGCGTGTAGGGGAGCACAACCCCACTTTGCCTCCCCTCTAGTCCCTCCAGGGAAGGCAGGAGCTATTCAGGAGCATTCCCATCATGCTGCTAATCTCCCAGGTTCCCCTTCGCCAAAGGTGGGTGCGGGAGGTGGATCCAGGATGCTGCGGTGCCCGGGGCCACGTAGGCGGCTGGGGGGGCTCCCCATGCATGCCAAGTCACTGCAGGTATCCTCTCCCCAGGTGGGAGGATGCAGGTCTCCAACCTACCTCTCACCGGACCCCACTTTCTCTCACCAGATCCTCCACTCACCTCCCCATCCTGAAGCTGGTCCAGGCAGTGGACATGCAGAAGGGACCCCGTCTGGACAGCCTTCGCCTACTCGACCAGCTCCGCTGCCAGGACTGGGGAGAGGAGGGGGGGAAATGTGGTCTCACCTTCAACCATCTGAAGGTAGGGAGATTCTGCTGGTGGGACTGGGGCTTTCCGGGCAGGCAGAGCCAAGGCTGCTCCCCTGCACCCTCCTGCAGCCTAGTCGCTGCTGGAAGAAGACCCCAAGCAACAAACCTGAGATCCTGCAGTGCTTTGGGATGTACCGGCCCATGACTGTGTCTGGAAAGGATGCATGGCGCCGGCCATAGTTAGAGGGGTTTGATCCTTCTTCCTTGCAAATGGCAGGCACTTGCTGGATTGAACCAGCAACCTCCAGCCTGAAAGACCCTGACTGTTAAGAGCTGGGGGTCTGTGCCGATGTGCGAGGCGCTGCCTGTGTCTGCAGGGGCCATGCTGGGGAGTGCATTGCCGTGCCTGCTGAGCCACAGGTTGTCCCATGCCCCGCTGTGCTGGGAGGTGCCCGTACAGGGCTCAGGGTGACATTTCTTCTGACAAAACCCTCCTCTCCCCACCCAAGTTGTTTTCAGCACTGGAGCCATGCCAGCTGGTGATGCGTGTCGGGAAAGGGGCCGTGCTGGGGACAGCACCTGGTGGCACAATCCCGGTGGCTCTCTGGCCTGGAGGTGGAGAAGGAGGCAAAGTTGTCTTCTGCCAAGAGAACGGCTCCAGCTCCAAGTAACCCAAATCCTGTGGGTTTTGCTTCATGTCGCGTTCTTTGATTTTTTTTT